CCCTCTTCCCCCCCCCCCTGGAGTGCACAAATTTTTGTGCACCGGGCCTCTAGTTTTATATAAATTCAGTTATGATTACTTCTTGAGTTAGAAGCACTTCTTGAGTTGTGGATCACTTTCATGTAGCAATACTGTTTATAATTTTAAGAAGGCCTTGAAGAGAAGAGCATCCTTAACCATGCAAATAGACTATCACCATGATACATTCAGATTTAGAGGATGTCTCGATTCATAAATATTTTTTATACCATGGTAACAGTGATTTTAGCTTTTATTTACTTAGCATTTTTAGATTTTTTGTGTCACTATCTTTGCTTTTAAAAATCTTTTCTTTTTGCCTGGATGGTATGGCTCAGTGATTGAACATTGACCTATGAACCAGGAAGTCAAGGTTTGATTCCTGATCAGAGCACATGCTGTGGTTGCGGGCTTGATCCACAGTAGGGGGCATGCAGGAGGCAGCCAATCAGAGATTCTCATCATTGATGTTTCCATATCTCTCTCCCTCAGTTTTCTTCTCTGAAATCAATTAAAAAAATTTAAAAATGTTTTTTTAGTATTTATTGCTAATTTTTTAAAAAAGTAATTGAGCCTTCAGTTTTCTACTTTCTTGCTGAAATATCTTAAATAAATTGGTTATTTTTCCTTATTGTGATTTACTACTTCTGGATGTTACATTTCTTATCCTCTGAAAACATTTTGTCTTTCCTCATTTTATCCCACACACTGTTCATAAAACACTGATTTTTTTCATTGAGCTATGACGTATCTGAAATGTATTTTTTAAGTTTACCCTCCTTGACTTTGTAGCAAGCTGTTTAGGTGTGCTTTCTAGTCTAGATTAGAATCTTGGATCTGCCATTTACTTATGTGTGACCTAGATCATGCTGCCTCACCTCATTTATCTGTAGTTTCTTTCTATGAGGACAATTATGTCTTTTTCTCATAGGATTATCAGAGAATTGTTTCCATGATAAAGGCCAATTGTTTCTACTTTTTTTTTTCATGCTTTAGTTTATAACTATTGAACTACTTGTTAGAAGTGGGGAATAAATATTTTCCTAATCTTGGAATGATAGTTTTATAAGCGTTAACCACATTAACACTAATGTATTAGAAGTTATAATAAAGGTTAAAAAGACTATCAGAAAACAGGCCCATTCTACATTTTCCACAATAAATGTTTTTAGAGCTGCTGGCAAGTTAACCAGAGAGCCTTAACTGAACTCTTTTGTTATTAAATGATATATCTAAAAGGGGATTGTTCTTTTTTACTGTGAAAGATGGAACCTTAGGCTTCACATAACAGAGCCTGATTGTTGGAATTACACATGTTAATTGTTAATTCCTTTAAAAGCAAATTATTATTTTTCAGCTGAGCTCATCTCTGTTATTTTACACATTTCATAATGGTTTTTGGTTACTTCTGATTCTACTAAAGCACGAAGAGCTCATTTAGGAGATTAGTCTAAAAAAATTCTTCAATGTTCTTCCAATTTATTTTATACTAATTCTTGACACATTTATTCAGTGACTTATAGGCTTAAATCTTGGTTGTCTGCTTCTGTTACTTCCATCAGTAAGTATCCATATCATTGTTTTTCAAACCTTTTCATTCTCTATATGGTCCATTCTAGAGAACCTCTTCTGAGTTACTAATCACTGGTCTACAATGTTCAAAATTGTGACCCAGATCAATTGGGCATATAATTAATAAATAAATAAGCAGTTCTTCAGTAAGACTATGGCCTGGCAAAAATGTTATTTGAATTGGTTTTCATAGATCTACTAGGTAACTAACCTTAACTAAGTGCTAATTACATGCCCGACTTTGTTCTTAACTGCTTATAACCCAGTTACTTTATTCAATCCTCACAACAATTCTATTACATAGGAACTTTTATTCCCATATTGTTATGAAGTAACTGAGATTTAGAGAAGTAGTATTATTAACCACATTAACACTAATGTATTAGGAGTTATAATAAAGGTTTAAATTAACTTGCAAATGGCCATAAGATTAAGTGAGTGGTGAGGCTAAAATCTAAATCTAGGAAGTCTGAATTCAGAGCCAAACTCTTAATCAGCTATTATTGTAAATAAACCAGAACTAGTAAGAATAGTTGAAGTTGTTTCATACATAGAAGTAAAACTAGCCTTTAACCAGAGAGAACCTCTAGATCGGCTAAAGAAGTTAACACAAGGACTAGTTTCTTATAAAATTGAATTTTGGAGCTATTATACAGAAAAATGTATAGAATACAATATTTAAAAAATTGAGGATATTTTTATTTTTAAATTCTTAAATTTTAGAAGATTTAAAAAATATTCTTAAATGAGCTTTTTATTGCTTGTATGGACTTGTGCGAAGACAGACTTACTGGATTTTGATCTTATGGCCATTTGCAAGTTAATTAAACTTTCTGTGCCTGTGATTACTTATGTGTAAAAAGAAAAAAATATAGTTTCTTTCTCATAAGTTGTAATGAGAATTACATTATCTACACTAATAAAAGACAAAGATGCAAATTAACCATCGCTCCATCACTCCGCCACTCTGCTACACCCACAAGCCACGCCCACCAGCCAATTAGGAGTGAGTATGCAAATTAACCCAACTAAGATGGCGGCAGCCAGGGAGCTGGAGCAAGCAGGAGGCTTGGGTTGCCCCCTGCAATGGAGGAAGCCAAGCTTCCCGCCTGCCCTGGCTGGCCCTGGGCTCTGCTCAAGGCTACAAAGTTTCAATTATAGAAGATAAATAAATCTCAGATACCTGCTTCCAGCCCACCAAAAAAGAAAAAAGAAAAAAAGGAGAGCCTGGGAGCTTGGGTCGCCGGGGGGTGTGGCCAGCCTGAAAACGGCCATCAGCCCCTCACCCAGGCTGGCCAGGCACCCCAGAGGGAACCCCCCACCCTGAAGGTGCTGTGGGCAGCCTGAAAATGGCCCTCAGCCCCTCACCCAGGCTGGCCACACCCCATGGGGTGAGGGTCCCTGCTGAGGGGTTTGGTCAGCCTGCAAACAGCCCTCAGCCCCTCACCCAGGCTGGCCAGGCACCCCAGTGGGACCCCCACCCTGATCCGGGACTCCTTTTAGGGCAAACCAGCTGGCCTGCACCTGTGCACCAGGCCTCTATCCTATCTACACTAATAAAAGAGAAACATGGTAATTAGCGTACGACCGCTACCCTTTTCATTGGCTAATCAGTGAGTATATGCAAATTAACTGTCAGCCAAGATGGCGGCCGGCAGCCAGGCACTGAAGCGAGCAGGGAGGCTTGCTTGCTGCAGACTCCAACGTTCCCCGCCTCACTTGCCGGCCTCTCAGCTGCAAGTCTAAGCAACTATATACTATGTTGCAAATAAGAAGCTAAACAAAACCCCAGAAACCGGCTTCCATTCAGCCGGGCTCGGACCGCAACATTGTATCTATGTTTTCAGCAGCAAGGCCTCAGAGCTAAAGCTGGCCCAGAAAAAAAAAAAAAAAAAGAGAAGAAAACAAGGAGCGGTTGGAAGCTTTAGTCACTCGCCAGCCGGAAAACAGCCCTCAGCCCCTCACCCAGACTGGCCAGGCACCCCAGTGGGGACCCCCACCCTGATCCAGGACACCCTTCAGGGCAAACCAGCCAGCCCCTACCCATGCACCAGGCCTCTATCCTATATAGTAAAAGGGTAATAGGCCTCCCAGCACCGGGATCAGCGGAGCAGCGAGGCTCCCGGCACCGGGATCAGCATGACAGGGGGCAG